ATATTCACCAAGCCATTGGATGAGAAAAGGTTTTGCAAGCTAAGGAATGAGTTGAACATATTGGATTTCTCAAATATGGGTTGATGCAACCCCCACTCATATGACATGCCTCTCCTTCGAGCAATCTAAGGTAAAAGTTGATTGGCATAGCATACATCCTTGTTAAGGACATGTTTAGTGCATCTAGTCATCTTTCACATTTGATAGGCTCATTCATAAAAATCAAATGATTTTGATGATTGTATGGTACCACTATTGCTTCTATGCTTATTTTGATCTAGTGGTAGCATATGACATGTTTGTGGGCTTGTAAACCTAGTGCTTGATCTAGAAAATGAGCTCTAAGTGTTTAACTCAACATGGTATAAGATAACCCTTATTTGGAGGTGTGAAGAAGCTTGTCCTTGGATCAAACCGAGTTAAATATCTTTGGCAAATGATCTAGATTGGACCAAATTTGGGAGAATGGTCCTCACCCCATTGATTGACATTGATAATCTCAACCTATCTATTTTTTGAACCTTTGTGGTCATTGATGACAAAGGGAGAGAAAAACAAAGATATAAGTGTTAAGGGGAGAAATAGTGTACTAAGATAGTGAAAAGACAACAAGTGGGAGAATTTGACATAGAGGGAGAGCTATGACAAAGGAAGGGGATCAATTAAAATTTTGAGCACACAAGTAGGGGGAGCAAGCTCATGAACTGTATGGTGCATTTCATATATTTGCTTGCATGGCATTTAAATTTCAATATATATGCTTGTGTGGTGTATGCTAGTTGTAGGTTTGAATGATGAAATGAAAAACTAGCATGCATAGGATAAGTAACTAGACTCATGCTCACATTATGAAAACTAGACCCTTACTTCTAATGTTGATCTCACGGGGTATTCTAGTTCTTGTGTATGACTAGTTACTAATGGTGCTAAGGATGGTATATTGGTGCACTCCGATTGGTATCACGCTTCAAAGGTCCAACTTTTATATCTTAGCATCATTCGGTAGACATTGTCTCCTACATTTCCTATCTAAGCATATGTGCAAGCTACAATCTAAACTCTTAGCATATATGTAGGGGGAGCAATTGCTACCATTTGGGGTTTATGAAACTTGTCCATATCCTTTTACACATGTTATATATGCTTGGGCAAGCAACATGGATTCAATTTAATTTCAATTCATATCTTTGTGTAAGGGTTGTCATCAATTACCAAAAAGGGAGAAATTGAAAGCTCTAGTTTGGTTTTGGTGAATTGATGAAACCCTAAGTGCTAACCTAGTTTATCAAGTGATCATGAGATAGGTAGCACCTTCCAAGTGGTGAAGCAAATGAAGATCATAACATGATGGTGGTGATGCCATGGTGATGATCAAGTGCTTGGAATGAAAAGAAGAAAGAGAAAAATGAAAGGCTCAAGGCAAAGGTATATGTGGTAAGAGCCATTTCATTTCGATGATCAAGACACTTAGCGAGTGTGATCACATTTAGGTCCGATAGCCGTACTATTAAGAGGAGTGAAACTCGTATCGAAATACGGTTATCAAAGTTCCACTAGATGCTCTAACTCATTGCATATGCATTTAGGATCTAGTGGAGTGTTAACACCCTTGAAAAATTTGTGAAAATATGCTAACACATGTGCACAAGGTGATACACTTGGTTGTTGGCATATTTGAGCAAGGGTAAAGAAGATAGAGTTGAAAAGGAGTTAGTCGTGCTGGTCACAGAGTGACCGGACGCGTCCGGTATTAACGACCGGACTCTGGCTAAGTGGAGTGACCGGACGCTGAGGAGTTACGTCAGCATCTGGTCAAAGTGATGTGGCTCGGTACTAAATTACAAAGAGCGACTGGACGCGTCTAGTCGCCACACCGGACGCGTCCGGTTTGAATCAGCGAGCCTCGGGTTTTTAGCGTTAAAATTGATCAGACTCTAGGAGCGTCCGGTCCGGTGTGATCGGATGTGTCCGGTCGGCCTAGAGCGGCTATGGGAGCTCTCTAGACTCGACCGGACGCTGCATCTCCTGCGTCTGGTCTGGTGTGACCGGACGTCCGATCGGCCCAGAGCGGCTCTGGGAGCTCTCTGGACTCGACCGGACACTGAGTTTCCTACGTCCGATCGTCCACACCGGACACGTCCGGATGCAGTTGAGTGTGGTACTCATGGCAGCAACGGCTACTTCATTTGAATGGGACATGTGGTGGTCAGGCAGCGACCGGACGCAAACAAGACCAGATGCGTCTGGTGCACATGACCTGCGCGTCCGGTCGATGCGCGATCAGCCCAATAATTGAGCCAACGACTCTATTTGTGGGGGCTCTCTATTTAAGCCCCATGGCCAGTTCAAGCTCATGCTCTTGACCATTTGCATTGACATGATAACCTTGTGAGCTTAGCCAAAGCCCTCTCACTCATCTCCATCATTGATTCATTATCTTTGTGAGATTGGGAGTGAATCCAAGTGCATTGCATGAGTGTTTGCATCTAGAGGCACTTAGTGTTCATGTTTCACTGTGGGATTCGCTTGTTACTCTTGGTGGTTGCCGCCACCTAGATGGCTTGGAGTAGCGAGGATCGTCGAGCTGAGGTTGGTGATTGTTGGGCTCCGATCGTGGTGATTGTGAGGGGTTCTTGACCTTTCCCCGGTGGAGAACCAAAATGTACTCTAGTAAATTGCTCGTGGCTTGTGTGATCCTCATCTTGTGTTGGTTGTGCGGCACCCTATTGAGGGTTTGGCGTGTGATGTCAATTAGCGCGTGAACCTCCAAGTGAGTGAATCGGCACAACGAGGACTAGCTTACTGACAAGCAAGTGAACCTCGGTAAAAAATCATTGTGTCATCATTTGATTCCGATGTGATTTGTATTCATTCTTGTGATTAATTGGTTCATTCCTCGACACGGCGGTATAACTATCTTGCTCTCTCTCTTTATGTTACCGTAAACTAGTTATCAAGCTCTTTAGTGTAGTTAGTTGTGAGAGCTTGTTAGTTTGGTTAGTGTGGCTCTTTAGTTAGCTTTTGAGAGCACACTAACTTAGTGTAGTGACATAGCCATTGTGTGGATAGAGACTATAGAAACTAGACTGTAGGTAGGTGGCTTGTATTTTTAGTAGGTTAGCGCAACACTCGCTTCGCCTCATATTTGTCTAACCGGTTTGTTAAGTGTTGTTGTAGAAATTTTTAATAGGCTATTCACCCCCCCCTCTAGCCATTAGGACCTTTCAATGAGGCAGGACTAGGCACGCCAGGCACATGAGACCGTAGCTGCACTTGCTTAGGTTCAAGCTCGATAGGATGAGTTTCAGAGGCAGCAACAGCTAATGATTCAGCAGCAGTTACCCCGTGACCAGCTCATTCAACTCCTTTTTCTTCACCAACTTTTTCTCCTTTGCAAATGTGCCAACACCACCAAGTGTACACCACCATGTGTATGTGTGTTAGCTTTTCACAAACATTTTTCAAAGGATTAGCCACTCAACTTGCCACGCCACTCGATCCTAGCAATGATGCAAAGTTAGATCACTCGAGTGGCACTAGATGACTGATATGCAAACAAGTTTGCCCCTCTTGATAGTACGACCATCTATCCTAAACCCGGTCATCAACTTCTCTACACACCTATGACTGGTGAAATGAAATACCCTAGGTTATACCTTTGCCTTGCGCATTCCTTTCCAACTCCTCCATTGTTGATGCAACACATGCACCAACCAATCACCAAATGATATGATCCACTTCATATCACCACATGATCGTATTGGTTCATCGATCTTGACTTCACTTGCTTTTCACTGTTGCTTTCGTCCATCGGCACCAAGTCTTGCTCAAGCTTCACCGCCACGTGGTCCATCGCTCCAAAGCCTCTAACTTGCCCTTCACTCTTGCACAACCGGTCCATCAAGCCAAGTCTTGTCTTGATCTTCTCCACCTTGATCACATGACTCAATGTACAATCTCATGTGCAATGAGCTCCTTCATCATCACATGTGTGAGCTTTGCAACATCTCCGAGCCATTTTCACCTTCATGGCATATGTTGCTCACACACATATACCTATGGACTAATCACCTATGTATCTCACATAAACACAATTAGTCCACCTAGATTGTCACTCAATTATCAAAACCACACAAGGACCTTTCAACAGCATCGGGCGTACCGATGCTGTTCTGCTTAACCCCCGTACGAACACTGATGGACGCGTTAGTTCACCACAATGTTCGCTAGGACGGAGTGGAGCGCCATGACCGACATATGACGCCTACGCACAGCGCTAGTGACGGACAGGACCGCGACGCAAAGCCATCCCTGTTGACATCTACAGGGTCGGCGGGACCCGCATGAAGGAGAAGAAGGACCCGACGATCCTGAAGGCCTTCGGCTCTCTTTCTCTCGTTCTTCTTTTTCCTCCGCTGTGACCCATGCTTTCCCTTGGCCTATAAAAGGGAAAGTAGGGCATCCTATAAGGGACATCGCAACACATCATATCGATTTAGGCTAGATCCAATCGAACCATCACGAACCCATCGAACCCCGAACACACGGCCGAGTAGCAACCGAGCTCTCTCAGCACCCGTTCACTCATTTCACCAGAGACTTGTGACATATTCCTCTCTCACCCGTTTGTAACCCCTACTATGAACTTTCAGTGCTAGTAACATGAGCAGCAGCCACGAACTGGATGTATGGACTTTCTGCCCGAACTAGTATAAACCTCGTGTCCTCTAAGCACACCATCCGAGCCAGACACGCAATATTAGAAATTTACTTGTCGGTGGCAATTCGAAACACCGATAGTGGGGGTTGGGGAACGATCTGGATCGGGTTGGACGTTGTGGATCAAGCGACCATAAGATCTAACGGTGTGTATTGTCCCTCAGTAATGTAAGGTAGCCAGAGCCCGGAGGCGCCTCTTTTCATCCTCTCCATGATAAATTCGCTCCCCTGGTGCTCCACTAGCCTTCGGCGATCGACCGGTAGCAGAAACGCCGCCCGAGATGTCTGCTTCCTCCACCCCACCGCGCACGGTGATATGTGTGGGCGACGTCCACGGCTACGTCACGAAGCTGGAGAGCCTTTGGTCCAACCTCCAGGCTACGCTCCCTTGCGACGCCTTCGCCACCGCGCTGGTCATCTTCCTCGGTGACTACAACGACCGCGGCCCACACACCCACAGGGTCCCCGACTTCCTCCTCGCGCTCCAGACGCGCCACCCGGCGCAGCGCCACGTCTTCCTCTGTGGCAACCACGACCTCGCCTTTGCGGCGTTCACCACGGCGCTGCCGTTGCCGTCGCCGCCCGATGGCTCCCCGACTCCCCGTTCTTAGCCACCTGGGACGAGTACATCCACAATGAGGAGCACGAGGGGTGGTTCCACGGGCCAGGGTATGAGGGCATGCACATGCAGGGGAGGCGGTGGGGCGGGGGCATCAAGGAGAGGTGGAACCCCAAGAAGGGGCTCCCGTGTGCTGTGCTGTGTTGCCGCCCATGGAGAAGAGTACAAGAAAGGCGTTCGTCCAAGGAGAAGAGCATAGGAGAGAGGACATGTAGGCCTCACATGTTATTCTCTACCCGGATGAATTCGAGAGGCCGTCGGAGAAAACAATTAAAAAATAAGTAGCAAAATAGGTGGCTACATAAACACACAGTTACTGTTGGTGGAGGTGCTCTCGTAAATCGTTTTCTGACTGCCAGCGACGGCAATTACACTCCTAACGGTTTTCTGAGCTTTCGCGGTTTTTGGCCGTCAGGAAAACCTCTCCGTCCTCTGCCACCTCCGGCACGGGCGCACGGGGAAGACGACGCCACACACGCTTCCGCGGGTCCCCACCCTGCTGGCCTTTTCCCTCTCCCATCCCCATGCAGCGCCAGCGCCTGGCCACTGCCTTCCACCTCCGGTCCTCCGCCGCACACGTTGCTCCCCCCATTCCTTCCATCCCCAGCCCTGCTCGCCCCCGCGGCTAATATTATCTTGCGCCGCTCCTCCTCGACCTCGGCTGCCGCCACTCCCCACGCGCGCACTCGCTTCCCGTGGGCAGCGCGGGTGAAGGAGCTGAGCGCGCGTGCGGGTGGTTGGACTCGGATGTGCGGCTGGGTGCGCGCGGGATGGCGTCGTTCGCTGTGTACGGTGCGAGGCTGGGGGTCGTGCGGACCGGCGGCTCGGCGCGATGTGGCGGGGAGCGGAGGAGTGGGGTGGACTTGCCGTCGGTGCTCTTCAGGAGGAAGAACGCCTTCTCTCGTAAGGCTCTCTCTCGCTTCCACCCTCCCCCTCTATTCTTATTCTTATGTCTGCATTCCAACCGGTGGAAGCGATCGAGCGCGGTTCCTGAATTGAAACCGGAACCTGCATTTTGTTGCGGCAATCGTTTCATCGTCTGGGCCAATAGGTTTTCTCGTTTTCTTCTTATTTTGTTTTCTCATCGTTGCAGCCTGCATATTGGTATTTGGTGGTGCTGTTTTCTCAGTTCTTATCAGCGGAGCTGGCTTTGTAATTTGTTGCAGGTACCGTTCTGAGCTGCGCTGGTGCTCCTGGAAAGGTGCTGGTTGTGGAGGAGAAGGCATACTACTCATCAGCAGCTCAAGCAACCTCAGCAGCGGCTGAAGCAAGCTCAGAAGCTGAAGCTGAGGAGAAGCCTGAGCCCTCAGAAGTGATTGAAGGCACTGATGAAACCGATGATATTGATGGCGCAGGCATGACAGCCAAAGCACCCCTCGTGGAGGAGAAACCACGAGTTATCCCACCACCAGGAGATGGCCAGCGAATACATGAGATTGACCCAATGCTGGAAGGATTTTGGTGTCACCTTGACTACCGGTAAGCTGTACTGTGTGCGGTGAATGTACCGTCGTACAAGTAGGATATCCGGTCTCACTCCTGGCGGCCACGGCAGAGCGAGCAGCGAAAATCAAAGTCGTCCGGGGAAACGGAGCCCGTACCAAACCCAGCGCGGCGGCGGCGGCGGATGGAGGCGTGGCGTGGCGGTCGCGGACGGCGCAAGGAAGGGGAGAGGCGCAGTCCAAAGTCCAAACGAGACGGGAGCAGAAGGGCCGAAGGGGGTGGGGACTGGGGATCGAGTTGGACGGCGTGGATCAAGCGACTCTAAGATCCAACGGTGCGTATTGTTCCCCAGTAATGTAAGGTAGCCAGAGTCCGGAGGCGCCTCTTTCATCACAGTTCACAGGATAATTCGCTCCTCTGGCGCTCGCTCTGCTCGCTACCCGTTTGTGTGCGGTGAAGCCTCCGGCGAACAGCCGTAGCGGAAACGCCGCCCGAGATGTCTGCTCCGTCCGCCCCACCCCGCACGGTGATCTGTGTGGGCGACGTCCACGGCTACATCACGAAGCTGGAGAGCCTCTGGTCCAACCTCCAGGCCGCACTCCCCGCCGACGCCTTCGCCACCGCGCTGGTCATCTTCCTCGGCGACTACAACGACCGCGGCCCGCACACCCGCAGGGTCCTCGACTTCCTCCTCGCGGTCCCGACGCGCCACCCCGGGCAGCGCCACGTCTTCCTCTGCGGCAACCACGACCTTGCCTTCGCGGCGTTCGTCGGGGCGCTGCCGCCGCCGCCCGACGGCTCCCCGTTCTCGGCCACCTGGGACGAGTACATCCACAATGAGGAGCACGAGGGGTGGTTCCGCGGGCCGGGATACGAGGGCATGCACGTGCAGGGGAGGCGGTGGGGCGGGGTCATCAAGGAGAGGTGGAACCCCAAGAAGGGGCTCCCGTACAAGGGCTCCATCTACGACGCGCAGCCCACCTTCGAATCCTACGGCGTCGCCCATGGTTCCCCTGGTCAGTCATGAAATTTTCTCGTCAGTTTGGTTTCTTGCATCCTTTCTTAATCAGTACTAGTTGCGGTTGTGTACTGTAGTTACCAACCAATGCAAATTTGCCATGGAACCTTAAGAAATGCTGAAATAGAGCAGGCAAGGAACCTATGAATTCTGATTTGCATGTTTACTAAATGAATGCACAATTTCCCAATAAGGCCTTGTTTGGATGCATGTGTATCCACTTCAATCCACATGTGTTGGAGTGTATTGGATTGAAACTTAGTTTAATTCCACTCCCATCCAATTCTAACACATGTGGGTTGAGATAGATACATGTGCATCCAAACAAGGCATAATATGAGAAATTAATTTTGTTAATCAGTCATTTCATTGAGGTAGAAGAGAGAACAATGGGGGATTGGAGAAACCCAAAAGACACACCCAAGATACAACTCTCACAAAGGGTAACAACATCAGCAAGCTTGATGCAGCAAGCAACCAGACGACCAAAAAGCTAGTCTAATGTAATGCCCTGGCGAGCAACTCCTGGAAGGGCCTTTTGCTCCAGCACGCAGCAGCACACCAAAGAATGAAATATAGATGCCACGACAAGTAACTCCTGAGAGTCATTTTGGTTCAGCTGACAGCAGCACACCAAAGGATAGACTATGAACTCTATTTGCAGCACTATTGATATATAAGGATTTGCCCCATTGAGCACACAGTTGTTGCAATGGTTCCAAATTTTCCATGCCACAAGAATAATGAGATAATAAGCCCTTTCTTGACCTTCTTTCGAGACATCCTTCATTGCCTTGCACCACCAACTTGAGAATCTGCTGGTGGAAGGTTGTGGTGTGATGGCATGGCGGCGAGGCCCAACCACCAGAAAATTATAAACCAAACCTGTTGAGCAAAGGCACTGGAAAGCAACAGGTGCTGAATTGATTCTTCCTCCTGATCACAAAGAGGGCAGGCTGCTGGATGAGTAGTCCTCCCTTGGCAAGCCGATCTGCCATCCAACAGCAGTTGCGCAAAGCAAGCCAGATAATGTAAATTTTCCACACAAGATGAGAATGACTGCTTCAATGGAGTTTTATGTTTAACACTTGATACAGTAAAACTTGGTAAGCTATTCACTGATAAAGCAAGATACTGATACGAAACAAGAAATTTGGTACTCCTGACTAGATTGTGTAAGCATATAATCATACGTAACCTCCTGCCAGAAATTAACCAAACAATTTCTAATTTTCAGCAAATAGTTCCCTATTTCAAACAAGATCATCTTCTAATTCTAATTTGCTGTTGGTTCTAATTTCTTCACAGATCTCGCAAAGGCTGTGCCAGAGGAGCACAAGAGGTTTCTGCATGACTTGGTTTGGATACATGAAGAGGTGAGTTATTGTGTGAATTGTAAGTATTCAAGCAAGAGGTGATGCGCTCCTAAGGTATTCAGGTTATGGTTTTATTACAGGAAAATGTGCCAATTGATACGGATGAAGGACAAATCATCTGCAATCTGATTGCCGTCCATGCTGGCCTAGAGAGGACCATAGATTTGAATGAGCAACTTAGAGTTTTGAGAACTAGAGACACAAGGGTGCCAAAGGTTCAAATGCTTAGTGGGAGGCAAGATGTTTGGGACACACCCAAGGTGAAAAAAATCTGCATCTTATTTCTCTCTAGTTTACCAGAAAATAAACTTAGTTTCTGATTTTTTAATATTTACCAGCTTGGTGAGACAACATACTCTGCAGAATGATTCTGCAAATGCTTATTTCTGTATCATGAGTTTTAGGGAAGAGACCATCTTGGTCCTTAGAATGCATCTGTAAATGCTTTCAAAATGTACAGTGCACTTGACACGTCATTATTGGCTCATGATGTGTTAGTTCATGTTGTTGAGCTGATGTGACATCGTTTTAGCAGAGCTGGTGGCAATAAACCTAACCTTTTTACTGGAGTTATCAGAGCTGATATTATATAGTGCTGAGCTGAGTGCAGCCTGCTCTCTTAAGTCAACTCTTGATCCCACCCACTCCATGATGCTTCATTTTTCCAGTTTTTGAAGTTGAGAAAATTGATCTGTGAATATTTTAATTTTAGTCTCATCATCCCTTGGGTGAACAAATAACTTTTAAAAGTATAACAGGTTTGGTAACTGATAAAGTATGAAATAATAAGAGCTTTTTTTTTAGAATAAATAGTAAGAGTTTTAAAGACACTGGTTCTGGTCTCTTGTCTTTTTATCTTTCTCACACTGCAAATCAGTCTTTGGCCTAACCTTGTATATTTGTATATACAGAATGAAACTAGCATAACATGCCTGCAAATCAAGTACAACTGCTGTAATGTTTCAAATGTGCTCATATTTAACACTAACAGGACAGGCCAATAGGATGTCTTGTATATTCTCTAGTATTCTCAACACAATATTCATTGGCGTGTTTGCATTACTCTGGTCGTCATGCTATTTTGAATTACCATTTGTCCCCTTGTAGAATGTAATCAGGTGCACCATGCAGAAACACTACCAGTTCATTCTTAGCAATGTTGTCTGGAAACTTCAATATGGATATGGTATAGGTACAGAATTTTCATTATTAGATAAAATTAAACACAGGAGTTCAGTGTTAATTGCACCATTACATTGTGATATCCAAATTCGATACGCCTATGTACTTGTCACTACAACACACATATATTTCTTGAAAATCTCTGCTTCTGTCATATAAATTGGTGAACCTGGCCCGGGTGTGTGGGTCCTCTGGCTGCAAGCTTTGTCTTTTTTTACATGTTCTGTGATTCTCTGGTTTTGTTGAAACTTGAAACAAGCATGAGTGCATGTGTATGGGATCAGTGCATGTGCATGGGCTGCCTATGCGAACATTGCTAGACATGATTTCTGTTCGTGGCAGATACACACGACACATATTGTACCTATATGACCTGTCCTGAATGTAGGGTAGTGCACAGTATCACGTTATGTGACCTCATTAGCCCTCATGAGTCATGATCGCCATTGTATTTATGTTGAAGCTTGAACAGAAATGTATCATGGACATCTGTTTTTCAGGATCTGACTGGCAAGCAGACTATCATTGTAAGTGGCCACCACGGGAAGCTCCACATCGACGGCCTCCGATTCATAATCGATGAAGGCGGTGGTTATGCAGACAAACCTATTGCTGCTATCGTGTTTCCTTCAAAGACATTGATCAGAAGTACCGAGGAAGCGGGAACCACATCACAGAGCTGATCTAGATATCGTCAGGAGCATTGAACACGGGGGGTGCAGTTTTTTTCCTTGTAATTAGTGCTTGTACTCATGTATCATCTATCATATGTCAAACGACAATAGGAACAACGTCCATAGGAAATAAGTTGGTGAACCAGACCTGCGTCTTCGCACTGCCCTGTTCGCTTTGCTGAAAAGTCAGGCTGGGTCAGGCTGAAAAGTATTGTTCGTTGATTTGCTGTGAGAGGAAAACACTTTTCTTTGCCGGTAGTCTCGAAGTGTAACTATTTGATATGATACTGTCAACTTGGAGGAGAGACTGTACAATAATTCAATAAACTTTACATCCTTGTCAGTTGTGTTTTTTTTTTTTGGGGGGGGGGGGGGAGGAGGATTGTCAGTTGTGAGTTTGTGACCAGGCTGCCTGTGTGCATTTGAGATTTCCACCATCTCTCAAGGCAAAGGCTTTGCTTTTACACGTAAGTACATTTCCTATTGTAAACATGAAGTGTTGATAACATGCTGTCCCTCGCTTGATGCTATATTCGACAGATTTGGAAGGGACACGGCCACACGGGCATGTACACGGTGTAGGCTCGGTTGCCATTTTGCGCCGTAAAAACTTCTGGAGGTAGACTGGTAGAGCAAAGGGCTGCGAAATATCAGCTCGGCCGAATTGACGGCCAGGAGGAGAGCACGGATGCTCGTAGGCCCATCGTACCACGGCCGAGCCTTTTCGTCCGTTTGTTTCTGAATTCTGATGATGTGAGGCGATCTGGCCGGGCTACAGAAAGCGAT